TAGTCAACCGTAGTGTGAAACACAAGATACATTCTGACCAAACACGCCTCCATAAAACTCCCATACGGCTGACGACATGCACCCACCATCACATCCACCCGTACCGTAAGATGCTCCCATCATAGCACGTATCTATCACATGTGGATCAATACCAACTGGTCAACCCCCCATCAACCCCCCACTGCCACCAGCACCCCCTCCCCAACCGCCCCCAGCGCGCACCCATGAGGTTGACGACGCGGAAGGGCGCGAGGGTGAGCTTGACCTTGGGCATGGAGACGAAGGCCCACGTGAGCGCGCCCACCCATGGCTCCACGGGGATCAGCTTCAGCCGCACCCACACCTCCGCATCCACGTCAAAGTTGCGCACGCCCACCGGGATGGGCATGGTGAGCGGGATGGCGGAGAGGCCCATGCTCACGTCCACGGGTACTTCCAGTAGCATGCGCATGCCCCCTGTGTACCGCACGCCCACGTGGTACCTGGGGTGAGGGGAGATGATAAGGATGGGGATGAGGATGGGCATGGGAGTGGGATGGTGAAGGGAATGGTGAAGGGGATAAAAGGTGCGGTTGTGAGGAACGGTTCCCAGACTGCCATGGCATCACAGGGAGTGGCATCCATGGTGGAGGTGAAGGTGCGGTTGTGAGGGTGAAGGTGAAGGGCGTGAATGGCATGGTTGGTAGAAGAAGACGGAATGCGAGTGCATGACGGCACCATGTGCCATGGCGTCTGCGGCGATAAATAGTGGTGAAGAGCAAGACACAGTCCGATGGGCTGGACACTAGTAGCAGCATGCCACTGCACGGCACCATAATCACTGCAGGTCATTGCTGCCACAGGATGTGCGCCTCTCCATGGAGCACAGTGAGGGAAGCTCGTCCCCCGAGGAAGAACTGCTTGATGCGCACCATACACCATGAAACCACTTACTACCAGACTGCACCACTGCTCTATCGCTCTGCACCGCACTCACTGCAGGTCGTTGCCGCGTCTTGAGGTGCGGCGCTCAATGGAGCGCAGCGAGGGCGGCTCGTCGCCCAGGAAGAACTGCTTGATGCGCACGCGCTGCACGCCACGTGGCTTGGGCGTCTCATCGATGAGCGGCTGCAGGATGCCCACCATCCACCGCTCCAACCCCGTGCGGTATATGCGGAACACCTGGGGGGGGGTGGGGGGAAGGCGTGTGCGGGCATACCTTAAGAGCCTTGACCTGACAGGCACCTGCCTGCAGGATGCCCACCATCCACCACTCCATCCCCGTGCGGTAGATGCGGAACACGGGAGGGCAGGGGGGGTTTGGTAAGTGTGTGCGTGTGGGTTAGAGAGAGGGCGTGTATGTGCGCTCGCATGGACTTAGTAGTCACTTGCAGCAGGTCCTATCCAGCACTTGACCCTATTCACCCAGAATTGACATGCGGTGACCGGCGTTGACCTTTGTTGACTGACCTTGCGCAGCAGCATGTTGACCCACTCCATGGGCTCCTTGCGCCGCACGTCCACCTGCTGCCGCGTCGACGCCACTGGCACGGGCGGGGGCAGGGGCGACGGCGCCTCCACTCGGATGCGCTCCGGGATGTCAAAGTGCGTTGACCCCCTGCCAGCATGGGAGGGCGGAAGGGAGGGGGGGGCGAGTCAGCACCCTAGCTATAGCCTTGAGCAGGCAGGCTGTAGCCTTGAGCAGGCAAGCAGACAGAGAGGGCGCAGTGTAACCCTCCCTGCATACCTCATACTCATCTGCATCTCCCACCCACATGCCCCACTCATTACTTGGACCCGAATTCCTCACTGACATCTCCCGCATGCACGCCCCCCCTCTCAGCTCACCGTGAGTCCTGCTGGAACTGGTACCACCACTGCTCACCGTGAGTCCTGCTGGAACTGGTACCACCACTGCTCACCGTGAGTCCTGCTGGAACTGGTACCACCACTGCTCCACGGCCTTGATGAACAGCACCACCACCACCGCCGCGTCCGCCAGCTGCCCTTTCGTCACGGGAATGCGGTCCAGCACGGGCGCCACCACGCTCACCACCGCCTGCACGCCCCACCCTGCTGTTCTCAACGCCCCCTGCGCGGGGGGCGGGAGGCTCCTCTCCACGTCCTCCGCCGTGTGCTGCACCACCTTGGCGATCTCCTGCTGCTTCTCCTGTATAGTCACGCCCACCTCAGTCACCACCTGCCCCACCTCCGACACCACGTCCTGCAGCGTGGTGCTCACCTCCACGGCCTTGCCCTGCAGCAGCACCGCGCCGTCCTGAATGCTGCTGCTCACCTCTACCGCCCTGTCCTGGATGCTCGTACCCACCTCCACCGCTCTCTCCTGAAGCTCCACCGCTTTGCCCTGGATCCTGCTGCCTACCACCACTGCCGTGTCCTGTATAGTGCTGCCAACTGCAACCGCCTTGTCTTGAATCGCCCCACCCACCACTATTGCTGTGTCCTGTATTGTGCTGCCCACCGCGACCGCCTTGCCTTGGATCGCACCCCCGACCTCCACGGCGCGGCCCTGGATCGCTCCGCCCACCACGGCGGCCGTGTCCTGAAGGGAGCTGCCCACGCCGTACGCGCGGCCCTGTATCCGACTCCCCGCCTCCATCGCTCCCCCCTGCAACCTGCTGCGCACTGCTGACGCGCGCCCCTGAATGCCCGAGCCTAGCCCCTGAATGCCCGAACCTAGCCCCTGAATGCCCGAGCCTAGTCCCTGAATACCCGAGCCTAGCCCTGGGATACCCGAGCCAAGCCCTAGCCCAGGGAAGCTCGAGGCTCGGTTGAGGGACGGCATCCGTGTGAGCGAGGTGGGTGGTCTCCACGAGGCTGCTCCGCCCTGGCGGGCAGCGGCGACGCGCTCTACTGCGCGCACGCTGCTTGACGCCTCGCGTGCTCCCTCCGCCACCTGCTGCGGCTGCTTCTGTGAACTTGGATGTTGCATTGCAACTTCCGTTCCATCCCCCGCCTGCTCCCCGCTTCCCACTGCTCCCTGCATTCGGCTCATCTGCTCTCCCCTTCCCGTCACGCCGCCTCCCTTCCTCGCCGCGTTCGCCGCCTCGCTCCTCTGCGCTGCCATTTGCGCCTTCCCCGCATCCACTCCCCCGTCCGCCTGCCCATCTTGCCGCGTGAGAATGGACGACACTGCCACCCGCCGGCTTCTTCCATAACCGCCGGTCGCAGGGATGCGCGGCGCGGTAAGGAAGAAGGGGGATGGTGCAGCAGGGAGAATCAGTGAACAGTCAGGGCGAAGGAACGGTGTGACTAGAAGCCGGGTGGGAAAATGCCGCTCAGGGTAATGTCGCAACCTGAATGCCTCTGGCCGAAGCAATGCCGTCGTCTGTGACTGTGAAAGCGATGCCATGGCTGGCTCTCCGCTCCCTATCCATTTGTTGCTTTTAACCAGCCATTGCGAAGCAATCAGTGGTACGAGTGATGTCGTCTGTTATGCACGATCCAGACTGGTGATTCCATGGTTGATCGCAACCCAATATTCGTGGTTAGCACGCGCAAAGGCCGACGAAATGGGATGAGTGACAGCGGAAGGCAAGTATACAGGAATTACAACTACGAGAAATGAAGCGATGACCAGTTGCTGAGAAGGAAATCAGCCTAGAGAATGTCATGCTGACTGCCTCCCCGTTCGAGGCTGCTCTGACAAAGTTGACAAAACCCAGCAGGTTGGCGGGAAACTGACATTCGTCGCAAGTGACGTGTTGCCACGCTGGACACGAACAATCAGCCAGCTCAGCAGGAGATCTGGGCTCTTCAGGCCTGCACGTGTGTTTCGCGCCGAGGCACACAATTCCGTCGCCATTGTCGGACGCGATTGTACATCTGAGGTCAAAATGAACTACACAGTTGAGTACAATTTCGGCTCCTTTACAATGTTTTACCTTCAACTTTAAACATTATAAACGAAAGAGCGATCAGGGATATTTTTCCTAACTCTTAGATTTCTGCGACAGTCATTTTGAAGGTCTTAACGTATGAAACTGCCACTTGTGTACTTTCTTCCACCATAACACAAATATTGGGTTCATCCTAAGGTAAGTGGTATTCGCGTTATGTCAATTTGCACACCCACGACAACAGTCAAGGACGGACCGCTCCAGCCAGTCGCCTCACCACCACAACAGCCAAGGACGGACCGCTAGTAGAACCTCGTATGCCTAGCACGGCTGCGTTCCGATCGTCGCTATTATTACTCAAACGAGACCAAACATTCGCGTGCGGCTACCTTCCTGGGACTAGCTTTCAGTGGCTGCTACGCAAGTTAGGGTTTCAAGGGAACGACTCAAGAGCAAGGTTTCGCGTGGTGTGTCTATGGCGACGGCGTCAGGTGGAGGGCGAGGAGCGTGGGAGCCTGGCGTGGTGGGCGAGATGCCGTGCTCCTTCGCACTCAACATCTTCCCCGAAGGATTCTCCATTGACGTTCCCACGCAGGTTCGACGCAGCTGCAGCGTGTACGATCCCGCGCTGTAGGAGGCGTTCTAGACTCGTTAGGTCAAGTCCGTGCGATCCGCCACGTGGCCCGCGTAATGCGCAAGCTTATCTGGTCCCGCTCTTTATCACAGTCGAACCTGTAGGTTAGGCTCGTGACCGTTATCCACATACTCGATTTCCGTCTCTCGTTCACAACAATCACTTCTTCCTCAATTCAGCGTGTCTCGCCCAGTCGGCGCCCATCGCATCGCACAATCATATCCCCGCTATTGCGTTGTTCTCCTCTCTTCGCGCGATGTCTCGCAGGACGGCCGCCCTCCGCCGCGTCTGCCGGAAGCCCTTGTAGCGAAGCTGTACCCCTACGACCGCTCCACTGAGTCCTTCCTCCAGGTGATTCTGCGGGCGGGGCATGGTGAATAGCAAACGTGTGCGTGCTGCAGCACTAACCCCGCTCAGCCTCTCTGGTTCCCTAGATTCCATTCTTCGGGTTTTAGGTCGGCGACAGTTAGAAATCGTGTGTTGTAAGGAGTATTCATAAACACCTTGAGGCGCAACGCGCGTTACCATGACCTTCCCCCTCCATGTCACTGAACAGCAGCATGCATGCATGCGCGGGTGCTTGTCTTTGTGTGTGCAGGCGATTGACAGCGGGCATCTGCCCGGGGACCTCCTGCACGACATCCCCTGCATCTACCGCAACGGATGTGTCGCCTGCGAGGTGCCCACTTGGTTGCTGCTGCTCCCTTGCCCCTGCATTTCCAGAACAGTGCAACGCTTTTATTCTACTCAACTTAACCATTCCCACACCTTGCATTATACAGCTTCCACCATGCACCATGCACCATGCACCATGCATCATGCATCATGCATCATGCATCATGTGTGCACAGTATATACGCCCCTCCCCCTTCCGCAACCCCCCACGCCCCCCGTCCTCCCCATCTCCCCCCATGCGCCCAGGTGCGTGACTACCGCGAGCTGGCAGCGGCGCTGGGCGGAAGCATGGCGCGAATCCCCCCAGGGGCTTCCCCCGCTGCAGCAATGGAGGCTGCGGGCCGGCGGGCGGGCGAGGGACCGGTGAGGACGTGCCGGGTGGTGCTGCGACCCACGTCTGAGAGCATTGCCAAGGACGTGGCCGCCATGGCTGATGCCTCCTGGTCCTACCAGGACATGCTGGTGGGTGCGGAGTGGTGGCAGGACATGCTGGTGGGTGCGGAGTGGTGACAGGTCATGGTGGGTGCGGAGTGGTGACAGATCATGCTCGTGGGTGCAGAGTGGTGACAGGACATGCTGGTGGGTGGGGAGTGGTCACCATTGCTTTTCATCTTTTCACTCTCTTCTCTTCTTGCCTCCCTCATCTTTCCCTTCCCACCGCCCTTTAGAATCGTCTCTCCATCCCTCACGCCCTCCATTCCCTCATCCCTCACGCCCTCCATTCCCTCATCCCTCACGCCCTCCATTCCCTCATCCCTCACGCCCTCCATTCCCTCATCCCTCACGCCCTCCATTCCCTCATCCCTCACGCCCTCCATTCCCCCATCCCTCACTCCCTCCATTCCCCCATCCCCCACTTCCTCCCCTCCCCACACCAGGAGGTGGGGGCGCGCATCCTGAGGGCAGGGCAGCCGCCGCTGTGCCTGGACCCCAGTCCACGCGTGGCCCAGGTGGCGACGCAGCAACACTTCCTTAAGGCCAATGCAGTGCAGTGCCGTGGTATCATCTTATTCACCCCTTACTCCCTCCCTTCGCTCCCTGCCTCCCTGCTGCCCTCCCTGCCTCCGTCCCTCACCCCACGCCAGGAGGTGGAAGCACGCATCCTGAGGGCAGTGCAGCCGCCCTTGTGTCTGGACCCCAGTCCGCGTGTAGCAGAGGTGGCGAGGCAGCAGCATTTCCACAAGGCGAAGCTGAACGCCGTGCCGCCCGCCTCGCGGCACCGCGGGCTGCTCAAGTACCGCCGCCTCGCCCTCCTCCCCGCCTGGGACCCCCTCTCGCCTCTCCGCCGTGCCGTGGCTGGGGATGCTGTCGCGTCTGATGATGGGGAGGACGAGGAGGAGGAGGAGGAAGAAGAGCGAGGGGGTGGGAAGGGGTCTGCAAAACGAAGTAAGCGTTGGGGATGGGATGGTGGGGGATGGCCGGTGCCCTGGCACGTGTGGTTTGAGCAGGGCTGGGGCGTTAAGTGCTTCTTTCGTTCACAGGGCATACTGTTGTCTATTGGACGTGCTGCCCTCTCTGCGTCATCATCCTTCCTCTTCCCTCTCCCGCGCTCCCCCCTTTCTCTCTTCTTGCAGAAGCACCAGGAGGAATGAAGGTGAAGAAGGGAAAGAAGAAATCAAGGAAGGGGCCGGGTGAGGATAAGACCCCTCTGCAGCAACAAAAGCTGAAGAAGAAAAAGAAGAAGACGAAGAAGCAGATGGGGGTGAAGGGGGGAACGCTGCTGGTTGACGAAAAGGGGAAGTCCACAAAAACGCAGGAGAAGGCAACAAGCAAGAAGAAGGCAAATTTGAAAAAGAAAAAGCAGCAGCAGCAGCAGCAGCAGCAACAACTGCAACAACAGCAGCAGCAACAACAGCAGCAGCAACAGCAGTTGCAGCAGCAATTGCAACAACAGCAGCAGCAACAGCAGTTGCAGCAGCAGCAAATGCAACAACAGCAACAGCAACAGCAAGAGCAATTGCAGCAGCAGCAGCAGCAGCAGCAGCAGCAGCAGCAGGGGCCCGAGATATCTATTGACAGTCTGCTGGGCTATGGTCTTTCTGGAGCAAAGCCGGGCGACGCCACACTTCTCTCCCCCACCCTCCCTCCAGCCCTTGCTACAGCCATGTCAGCCGCTGCCGCCGCTGCTGCTGCTGCGGGCACGTCAAGACCCCTGCCTGGGTCTCTCCCATCCGCGATGGCAGGCCCTACTGATGCCTTTGCCCCCACACCAGACGCAGCAGCAACACCAGAGGCCGCCACTGCTCGTGCCCCTGACCTTGCAGCTGGTGCTGGTGCCGCTGCTGCCGCTGCTGCGGCTGCAGCTGCTGGGGGTGGTGGGAAGGTGGAGATGGGTGCAGATGAGTTCCTGCTCATGAGTGCAGGCCTGCTGGGTGGGGCATTCGGGGGAGCGACTGCACCAGCAGGGACGGCTGTAGCAGGGGCGGGTGCAGCAGCAGGCGGCACAACAGGGCTGGGTGTGGCAGCAGAGGGGGGGCTGGGGGGTGAACTGGAGCAGGGGCAGGGGGGTGCTGGGGGCGAGGAAGGGGGGTTGGATGATGCATTGGATGGGGGGCTGGATGGGGGCCTGGACGGGGGGCTGGACGGGGGGCTGGACGGGGGGCTGGACGGGGGATTGGAGGAGAGTCTTGATGGAGGGCTGGATGCTGGGTGGAAGGATAAGAACGAGTCGCTGGATGAGTTTGGTGGGGCTGATGCGGGTTTGTCCCATGCCATGCCTGTGCCTGTGCTGCGGAAGCAGCGTATGTCGCTGTTCCAGCAGCAGCAGGTGGAGCTGCAACGACGCAGGCAGCAGCAGCTGCTGCAGCAGAAGCAGCAGGAGGAGGAGCAGCAGCAACAGCAGTTACTGCTGCAGCAGAAGCAGCAGCAGGAGCTGCAGCTAGAGCAGCAGAAGCAGCTAGAGCAGCAGAAACAGCAGCTAGAGCAGCAGAAGCAGCTAGAGCAGCAGAAGCAGCAGCTAGAGCAGCAGAAACAGGAGCAACTGCAGCAGCAGCAGCTGAAACAGCAGCAGGAACAGGAGCAGCAGCAGCAGCAGCAGCTACAACAGCAACAGCAGCAACAGTGGCAACAACAACAACAGCTGCAGCAACGACAGCAGCAGCAGCAGCAGCAGCAGCAGCAGTTGCAGCAACAGTTGCAGCAGCAGCAGCAGCAGCAGCAGCAAAGGCAAGGCCAGGCCCCTTACCCTGGCCAATTACCTACAGCAGGGGCAGCAGCAGCAGCAGCGCCGGCAGCAGCAGCAGGGGAGGAGAGGGCGAGTGTGAAGCAAGAGCCTACCCTGGAGCGAAGCCCGTCCAATGCCTCTATGCCCTCCTCCTTCCCACCCGCGCCCACTCCCACCTCTCCTGCTGTCCCTGCATCCTCACGCCCCCAGCCGTCTGAATTCGCCTCCCAAGTGCCGCCTGCTGCTCCTCCCCATGTGCCCGGCATGACAGAGCAGCAGCAGCAACAGCTCCAGCAGCAGCAGCTGCTGCAACATAAACAGCAGCAGCAGCAGCAGCAGCAGCAGCAGCAGCAGCAGCAGGCAGGTGGTTCAGGCCAGCCGTCGGTTCCTGCAGGGTCAGCTGTGGGTGTGGCGCAGGCAGGAACGAGGGCAGGGGTAAAGCCGGAGATGATGGGCGTGGGGGTTGCTGTTCCGAGGGGGGAAGCAGGAGGGGAGGCTGGGACTCAGCTGCAGTACCAGCAGCAGCAGCAGATGCTGCTTTACCAGCAGCGGTTGAGGCAGCAGCAGCAACAGCAACAGCAAGTGCAGCAGCAACAGCAGCAGCAACAGCAAATGCAGCAGCAACAGCAGCAAATGCAGCAGCAACAGCAACAACAGCAGCAAATGCAACAGCAACAACAGCAACAGCAACAACAACAGCAGCAACAGCAACAACAACAGCAGCAACAGCAGCAACTGCAGCAGCAGCGGTTCCAGCAACAGCAAGAGCTGCAAAAACGGCAGCAAGAATTACAGCAGCAAGTGCCTCAACGCATGCAGCCGATGCAGTCACAGCAGCAGCAGCAGATGCAAGCGCAGCAGCAGCAGCAGCAGCAGCAGCAGTTCTTACAAGGCAATCGACAGCAGCTTACACCTCAGCAGCAGCAACAGCAACAACAGCTACAATTACAACAGCAGCGGCAGCAGCAGCAACAGCAACAGCAACAGCAACAACTGCAGCAGCAACAGCAACAGCAACAGCAACAGCAACAGCAACAGCAACAGCAACAGCAACAGCAACAGCAACAGCAACAGCACATGCAGTCCAAGCCAGGCCAACTCCCATCGCAACCACCCATGCCTGGATACACTCCCCCACACCTGGCCCCTTCCCCGCCTGCTGCCGCTGCCTCTCCGTCTGTGACAGCAGGCCCACCAGTGCCCCAACTGGCCAAGCCCGGTATTGCTCAGCAGTCGCACCTGCCGCCGCCCACACATGGGCAGCAGCCACACCCCGTGCAACCAGGTGCTCCTGATGGCGCCACTCCTGCTGCCGCTGCTGCTCGCCCGCCCATGCCTCCTGAAGCACCATCGCCTGCTGCTGCTGCTGCTGGTATGGCCGCACCTGGGGTTGTAATGGCGCCACCCGAAGCCAAACCTCAGGTACGACCCAGCCTGCCTATTCAGCAGCAGCTGGCAGCAGCAGGCATGGTGGCTACTTCTCAGGTGGCGAATGGGGAGCAGGTGCGCAAGGCAGTGGTTGCAGCCCCACCATCAGGCCCCCCAGGTGGCATAGTGGTGGAGGGTGCACCTGAGGACAGGGACAAACCAAAGCCTCTTGCTGCTGTTGCAGCGGCTACAGCTGGTACCACTGCAGTTGCCGCTGCTGCTGGCTCATTGGGGCAGCAGCAGCAGCAGAAGGCAGTTGTCGCGGCTCCAGCAGACACGAAGAGAGCGTTGGGAGCGCTGCTATCGATCATCAAGAGGTCCGTGCCCCACGCTCTTTCAATTGAACAAACATTCAGACTGCCAATGCTCCGGAAATTCGTTGCGGTTTTTCAATTTGTAGTGTTCCGGGTGCAAGCAGTATGTTGTATAGAGTTGCAGTGTTTCGTTTGGGCTTATCAAGTACAACTGCAATGCACTTGTTCTCACCTTTTCTCCTGTTTGTCAATCTTCTGCCTTTTTTCCTCTTCTTTTTTCTCTCCTGCCTTACTGCCACCTTCCTCCTGCCCCCTTTCCCTCCTCTTCGTCCCCGTCTCTGCCCGTATCTCTGCCCCACCAGCCAAGGCCTGTATCCGCCAGCGCCATCGTCCCCGGAAGCCCTCCCCCCGCCCAAGCGCAGCAACCCCGACCCGGCGTTGGTGCGGCAGGCGCTGGCGGGCGGGGGGGAGGAGGCGGCGGAGCCCAAGGGCAAGCGCAGCCTGCGCTTCTCGCTGCTCACTGCCGGTGTCAACGTCAACGCGCCCAAGATGCGCGGGCTTACCTTCGTGCGCCTCGACTCCAACCCGCAAGGTCTGTGTGCCATATGATTGAATCCACGTGGTTGCTGTGAATTGTAGCTGTTGAAACACCCCTGCCTGGCTCGCTTCCCTTCTCAGTTTCCTCCTCTCCCCTCTCTTTTTCCTTTCTGCTCTCACGCTCCCCACTGCCCTCCCCACTGCCCTCTCTGCACGCCCACCAGGCGTGCGGCGCATGCAGCAGCGGCTGGTGATGAGGGGGCGGCAGAAGGACGAGTGTGTGGAGGCCATCATCCAGGAGGGCGCCGATGGCGACGCTGACACTGCCGGCGCGGCAGGAGGGGCGGGCGGATCGAGCATCTCACTGCGCCGCGACCAGCAGCTGCCTCTCATGCCCAACACCGTGAGCTGCCCACCCTTGCTGCTCTCGCTTTCCCACGCAGTCACACATGCACGCACGCACATGGACAAAGACATGCAAACACACATGTGCACGCACACACATTCACACTCACCTCAAGGAGGAGAAATGTGTTGAGACAACCATCTGCTTTCTCCCACCCCACCTGGCTCTGCCTACATCACCTGCCTCATCCACCTCTGCCTACATCACCTGCCTCATCCACGCCCCCCTGTCTCGTCTCTCCCGTGCTCTCCTCGCCCGTCTCTCCAGGAGTATGCCGATCGATTCGCGCGAACCTATGTCCGAGTGGTACGTGTGTCGCACTGCACCATGCTGCTCTCCACCATGCTGCCCTCCACCATGCTGCCCTCCACCATAGAAAACCTTTTGCTACTGGCCCTCGCTCTAGCTTTTTGCTGCTCGCCTTTCCTCTCATGGGTGAAGTTGCCGCTTGTAATGATCCGATTGTGCACTTGCTTGTTCGACACATGGTGCCCCTCGTTCAATCCTTGCTCATCCTCCTTTTTGTCCTCCTCTCCATATTCCCCATTCTTCTATGTATCCCCCTTCCATTCCTCCCTCGCATATTCTTACCTTCCCACTTCACTCTCCTCCACCTCTTCTCTCACTCCCCTCTACCTACCGCTCATTCTGACCCTCGCCCTTCCTCTCCCCTTCCCTTTCGCCCCTCTACAGGTGCAGCGCGAGGGGTGGCACATGATGGAGGACCAGGTCATCCCTTTGCCCAAGCACATGCACCCCGCCACGCAGATCAGCACCAACTCCGCTGCCGCCCGTGACCGCGCCGCCGCCGCTGCTGCCGCCGCCGCTTCTGCCGGTGCTGCCGGTGCTTCTGCCGGTGGGAATAGTGGTGGTGGGACAGCAGGGGGCGGGATGGGAGGCGCAGCAGGAGCAGGGGGAGGAGGGGGTATGGCAGGCGGGCGGGGGGTGGGTGTGGTGGGCCAAGCGGGGGCAGGGGGAGCGGGAGCAGCAGGGGCGCGGCAGGGTGGGGCTGCTGGGGGGCCTGGGGGCGCAGGAGGGTTGCCGCCCATGCCCCCTCCACCTGCCGCTGCTGCTGCTGCTGGTTCCCTTCCCACTAGTGCCGTTACTACTGCCACTGCTGCTGTTTCTGCCAGTGCTGCTGGTGGTGGGGTTGGGCAGCTAGGAGGTGCGGCTGTGGGGGGCCCGCCTCACCACATGCCTTCCCGTGCTGCCCCTGCTGCTGCTGCAGGCAGTGGTGGGGTGATGGCAGGAATGGGTGGGATGGGGCGGGGTGTGCCACCAGCAGGCATGGGGAGGGGACCAAACGCGGCAGCAGCAGCTGCTGGGAACGCCATGGGTCCCCCACATGCCACCCCTCCTCCCCATGCAGGCTACGCCGCTTCCCATGCCATGCCTTCTCACGCCGCCTCCCCACATACGCCCTCCCCTCATGGCCTTCCCAGCAGCAGGGTCACACCGCCCCATACTGTCACACCCCATACTATGAGCCCATCTGTAGGATCCCCTTCTGTGGCAGGCATAGCCCATCCTAGGTCCCAACCTCCTGTAGCCACGGGCTCTGCTTCCCAGCCTGTAGGTATGGACCGAACCTGGCCAGCAGGTCCGGGTTACGCTGCCTCCGGCCCTGGACCTAGCCCTACCTCTCCCCCAATGCCTGGTGCTGCCGGAGCTGCCAAGGTAGCTCCGGGTGTAGGTTACCCCAGTCCAGGTTCGGTGGCAGGTCCGGGAAGCCCAAGCCTCCCTCACATGCGGGGCCATGCTGTTCCCGGGCCTCACCATCAGGTCCGGGGAATGCACCCAGGCGCAGCAGGCCAGGCATATCCCCCGCGCCCACCTCAGCTTCCCCGAGCCTCACCGACAGGCACGGTAGGAATGGGGCACATGGCAGGAAGGATGGGTGCAGGTGGTATGGGAATGGGGCCTAGGGGAGGAATGAGTGGGCAAGGGGGCATGGGCGCTGGAGTGGGGGCTGCAGGCATGGGCACAGGTATGGGCGCGGTGATGGGAGGAGTGGGTGGGGCTGTGGATCCAGGGGCGGGGCAGAGCAGAGGATTCTACGGACAGTCGATGCCACCCCAGCAGCACTCCCATGTGCCACCACAGCAGCAGCAGCAGCAGCAGCAACAGCAGCAAGGGCAGGGGGGACCTGCTATGAGAACAGCACAGATGCCTTACACACAGCCACAGCAGCAGCAGCAACAGCAGCAACCGCAGCAGCAGCCGCAAGGGCAACAGCAGCAGGGGCAGCAGCAGCAGCAGCAGCCTCAGCGACAGCAGCTTCCCTCTGCACCACCGTCTGCCATCCCCGGCCGCACGGCCTCTCCATCTGCCCCCCCTGCACCTGCTGCCACCACAAGCCCTGCAGGCATGACCCCTGGTAGTGCTGCTGCCGTCGCCCCTGCGGGTGCAGGCAGGAGCCAACCTGGGGTTGGGCAGGCGACAGGAGCACAGGCAGGGCAGGCAGTACAGATGGGTGGAGTGGCAGGTGCAGGGAGGGGCGGAGGAGCAGTGGGAGTGGGAGGAAGGGGGGTTGGTCCAGGGCAGCAGCAGGGGCAGCAGCAGCAACCCCCAGCAGCAGCAGCGCAGCAGGCACAGATGCAGCAGCAACAGCTGCCACAACCTGGAGTGCAGCCACAGGCTCAGCAACAGCAACAGCAGCAGCAACAGCAACAGCAGCAGCAACAGCAACAGCAACAGCAGCAGCAGGTGGGTCAGAGGCCGGTGGCAGCCTCTCCTGCTGCCGCTGCTGTTCCTGGTGGGGTTGGCAGTGTGCAGCAAGGGGCGCAGCAGCAGGGGGGAGTGCAGCAGGCACAGCAGCCAAACCAGATGCAGCAACAGCAGCAGCAAACGATGCCACCACAGCAGCAGCAGGCGCAACAGCAGATGCAGCAGCAGCAGCAGCCCGTGGAGCAGAGGCCTCAGGTACCACAGCCGCAAGGTTTGGCACAGAGGCAAGTGCTATCACCACAGACACACGCACAGGTGCAGGCCCAGCCACAGTCGCAGCAGCAACAACAGCCGCCACAGCAAGTGGGAGGGCAGCAGAGGCCCCAGGTGCAGCACATGCAGCAGCAGCGCATGCAGGGGCAGGTGCAGGGGCAGGCGCACTACCCCCAGCGGCAGATGCAGCAGACCATGCAGCAGCAGATGCAGCAACAGATGCAGCAGCAGCAACGAGTACAGCAGCAGCCGGGCCCGCAGCAGCAGCAAGGCCAGCAGATGGCAGCACAGCGACAGCACATGCAGCAGCAGCTGCAGCAGCAGATGCAGCAACGTGGGAACCTGACACCGCAGCAGCAGCAGATGCTCGCTCAGCAGCGACAGAGGCAGCAACAGCTGTACCAGCAACGCATGCAACAGCAAATGCAGCAGCAACAAATGCAGCAGCCCCAGCATCAGCAGCAGCAGCAGCAGGCGTCACATCAGACACAACCGCAGCAGCAACTGCAACAGCAGCAGCCGCAGCAGCAGGCACCACCGCAGTCACGCCAGCTTCAAATGCAGCAGCATGTGCAACCTATGCAACAACAACAACAACAACAACAACAACAACAACAACAACAACAACAACAACAACAACAACAACAACAACAACAACAACAACAACAACAACAACAACAACAACAACAACAACAACAACAACAACAACAACAACAACAACAACAACAACAACAACAACAACAACAACAACAACAACAACAACAACAACAACAACAACAACAACAACAACAACAACAACAGCAGCAACAGCAACAACAGCAACAACAGCAGCAACAGCAGCAGCCACCACAGGCACCGCAGCAGCAACAGCAGCAGTAGCAAGTCCATCACACAGCGGAGCAATGGCAGAGCTGGGTGTGCATGCATCGCGATTCTGTGTGGCTGCTCTTCATGTCTCCAGGGGTGCTCAAGGCACAGCCTTCGTTTCTTTGGCACCTCTCTTTCTCACGCAGGTGTACTGCTGTACTGTTTCGGTCAAGACTCAAAGCACCTCTGGTTCATGCGACTGTGCCTGCGGTATATCAGCACTTGCACGACCTACCGTCATCACCCGGATATAAGACAGTGTTGAATAGAAGACAGGGGGTGTTTATTATCCGGGTGTCTCTTATAAACGGGGTAGCCTCATTATAAGACACATATTTGTGTGTACGAGTTAAGCCAGTGTAGGGGTTAGGGTAGGGGCAATTGTATAACGAGGGGGTATCTTCTAAACGGTTCTTTGTCCATTTACAAGACTTATACGACACCCTAAACCGTCCCAAATACAAGACAACCCAAGCATTTTTGCCCGTGTACGAGATAAGACATATATTTAGAAAGCTTGCTTTCTTGCATGTAGCAATTGGCATCGTCTCATTTCAAATGCAATTGGCATCGTCTCATTTCAAATGGGTTTAGTACAATTGAAATCCATGGAGTGACATAACAATCATATGCCTCTATGTTACTAAGGCTATCCTGCTTTCGAGGGGGGGGGGGGGGGGGGGAAAATCGGCTCAACCGTTTGAAAATGAGAGACGTGGGTGGAGGGAAATGACCTCCAGCCCACGTTTTGTACTCCAAAACGGGCGTTTAGCGCGGCTCGACGCTGCCAAATCCTACATTACAAGCAGCTTCGCTTTCAAAATACATAATTTTGAAAAGCGTTACAGCTTTTAAAAATATACATATTTAGAAAGCTTGCTTTCTTGCATGTAGCAATTGGCATCGTCTCATTTCAAATGGGTCTTCTGAGACATGTGTCGCGCTGGTTGACGATGTCGTGTCAGCGCCGCAGAGTGTTGCGTCGGTGACGAGGCTCTCGCCGGATCTTGGACGTGTCGAGATGCTCCAACCAACTGTTCTATCGCCGGAGTGATGTACATCTCCTTAGCCGTATCGCTGCGCCACCTCCCCAGCTGTTTCAAAATGCGATCGGGTACTCCCGCGTTGGCGGCGATGGTTGCTGCGCCTTTACGGAATGAGTGGGTGCCGAGGTGCTCGAGTCCTAAGCCAATCTTTTGAAATGCCTCCTTGCACCAGTTGCGGATTGTTGTGTAGGAGGGTGGTGTTGTCGGACTACCACGACTCGTGGTTTCTGAGCCGAAGACTCGTATCAACGGGCCTTTTTGTGAGCGGCCATAGCCTGCCAACTGGATGAAGCGTTTGGTGCATCGTACGGGGCAGAAAGGGCCCGGACTTGCGGCGACTGGGACCCATGCGCCTTCTCCTGCCTGGTCTGTTTTGGAGCGAGGAATCAGGAGCCACATAGCGTCTTCCTCGAACTCAATCTCGTGCCAATTGAGTGCGACAAGGTCTGAGTATCGCAGGAAGCCGGCGTACATGAGTAATGGAATGAGCCCCTTCTGAAACTCGCCAGGGTTGTCCGATTCCAGGAATTCCGCCGCCATTGCGTGTACTTGATGCAGAGAGACCGGTTCCTTGAGTCGCTGGGGCCGCGGACAGTGTCGTTTGGCGAAGTCTCGCACATTAGATGTGAATGGCCCAGTCGACGGGCACGTGGCCCCAATCATCCGATGCGCGAAGCTGACTGCCGAGCATGTCAGTTGTACTGCTGATATGGTAGCCTTCTGTTGAATCGCGTGGACCAGGTATAATGCGAGTGTCATGTCTGTGCATGGCAGGAACTGCAGTTTCACGCGTATGCAGAATGCGCGGAACTTGGCCCAGTATGGTTCGTAGGTGCGAATTGTGGAGTCGGCCCTTGTATGCGTGGTTATCCGAAGCAATTCTTGCTTGAGCCTCTTGAGCAATCGTGCACCAGATGTGTGAATGGTCAGGTGGCGAAGGACACTCGTAATGCAAGAATCGGGCTATGAGGCAATCCTTCCCCAGAAAAGGCGCGAGTGTGGGTGCCTGCGGTCAGGCACTGGCTCCCATGGGTGAGGCGGATGTGAGCGAGAATGCAGGAGGCCCATTGGGGCGGGGCAGGTTGTAGTAACGGCCACCAGCTTGCCCCTGGCCAATGAGGCACGACGAGCGTGAGCGATGCTCGCGTCCTTTGGGCGTGATGCAACACCGCTGGGATGAGGTGGGGTGGCAGAAAGGCGTATGCATGCTCAGAGGCCCACGATATGGAGAAAGCGTCGGTTGCCTCTGCGTCAGGGTGAGGAGTTTTGGAGCAAAAGCGGGCCAACTGGGTGTTGTTCGCATTGGCGAATAAATCGATGGAGTGCGGTCCCAAGCGCCGCTCAATGAGCCGGAACCATGGTGCTTTGATTGCGTAGTCGTCTCGATCGATCAGCTTTGAAAGTTCATCCGCTCGTGTGTTGAGTTCACGCGGAATCCATTCGACGGTCAACCGGATCCCGAAGGCAACGCACACTTGAATGATGGCTCTGCACGTTGTTGTGAGGCTCGGGGTCCGCGAACCACCTTTGCGAAGAATAAAGAAGACACCTTGGTTTTCGGTTCTGGCGAGGACCTGTCGGTTCTGGATCCTTCCCGAGAATGTCTGCAACGCCCATAGGACCCCGTCCATTTCCCGTTGCGTGCTGGAAGCTTTCGTGAGGTGCACGGGCATGGTCGCGCTTGCCTCGATTCGCCTTCCGGGAAACGTATCGAGTGTCGCTCCCCAACTGTGTGCGCTGGCATCCACATGGATCACTGCGTCGTAGCTATTCGGGACGTGGAACGGGGCGCCATTGAATCTGTCAAATTCATGTAGCCAAAACTCGAGCTCTTCGATGACCGCAGGGTCCAACTGCACTCTGCTGTTCCAGGAAGGGGCATCCTGAATGGTCTGTAGTAGGTTCTGGCTGAATGCGCGCGCGGTTGCGCCGATGGCAAGTGACATCGACGCGAGCATGCCGGTAACTCTGGCTACGTGGCGGATCGGGACTTTGCGTTCGGCCTTGCCGGCCATGCGTAATTCGTGAATGGTTGAGTGTAACGATGCTCGCCGCTCGGGACCAATTGAGAACTGGCCGCGTTGTGTATCCAGCTCAACACCCAAAAACCGTAGCTGCTGGGTGGGTTGCAGGTGCGACTTCTTAGAATTGATAACCAGTCCAGCCTTGTTGAGGTCTTGCACCACCATCTGACCCGTGGTTCGCGCTTTTGCTGCCGAGCGACGCAAAAAAAGGATGTCGTCGACATAAGGGATGACTCGCACCCCGAGAGCGCGCCACCGACCGGCGAGCTGCTTGATGAGTTGTGTGAAAACGAACGGGGCTGTCGCCAGACCAAATGGTAGAGACCGAAAGACGTACGAGCGCCCGTCGAATTGGAACCCGAGGAACTTCCAGCAGGAAGGGTGGATGTCGACGTGGTGATATCCTGATTTTAGATCGACTGCGAACATCCAGTCGTCTTCGTGAACGAGCTCTGCCACCCGATTCAGTCCTTCGTACTTGAATTTGGGGATACACAAATTTTGGTTCACCCTTCGGAGGTCAAGAATCAGTCGGCACTTTTCTCTTTGAACCACCACGTTTAGCAGGCTGATACATAGCTGTTGTTCCGTGGGGGCGGGAGTGGCTGCACCACTCTCGAGAAGCTCGGTTATGGCCTGCTTGGTGAACGTCGAATGGATTAGCGCTCCTGCGTGGTTGTCTTGCCGGAACGGCGTGGGTGGTCCATGCTTCCATGGCATCCAATAGCCATTGGAGATCACCGAGAGTATGAAACTGCTCTCACACCATGAGCTCCACCATGGAAGCGCCGTACGCAGGCGCCCACGCATAGTCGTGACGAGCTTGTCCGTGACCGCGAACTCATAGGGGCCACACCCCTCGATCGTTTCACCCCCCGGCATATCTGTAGCCATTTGACCATGGGGTGTGGGGGCAGCATGGGACCTGCTTCGTTAAAACCCAAGATCCGAATTACACAATCGAAGTCAACGGAAAAATTGTAGGTTCGGATAAAACCTAGCGGGACGTTCGGTTGGAAAATCGGAAGCCAATCCTGTCGAAAAACCAAGTGAAATTCTGGACCAATCGCGTGAAAATGGTGACACTTTGCCACCCGACTTGGTAATTCTGGCCTGGGCCTTTAAGCAGGGGCGCTTGGCTAGTCGGTTTTGCGTACAATTCACTAGGTTCAATGCCCGCAAATGTGCATGGTGACGCCCCTTCCCCTTCCTTCTCTTTCTCTCCTTCTCGCTCTCTCTCTCTCGTGTTTTTTTTTTTTTTTTTTTTTTTTTTTTTTTTTTTCTATTTTTGTGGTTCGTGAGACCTTTGCGTACCTATACCTGCATTCAGGTGTTTCGAGATGTGCCCATCCGGAGGTGCTCCTCGGGGCAGCTCCTTCCTTCGGCCGCTTTGGCCCTTGTTTTTTTTTTTTTTTTTTTTTTTTCTTTCTTTTTTTCATGTGTCACATGCTCTTCGGATGGCCATTTGCTGCCTTCCATGTTTTGTAGGCCACCTTTTGTCTTGCATTATGGCGTGTGCGCTTGGTATCATGGGACCCCAAGTCCCACACTATCTCTTTTCCCTTTTTCCTCCTTCACACACGATTCCTTTGCATTGTATGGGCTTGCATAGCCCGAACGTCTTGCCGCTTTCCATTTTTCCGCTCTCTATCTCTCTCTGTCTCTCTCATTCGCATGTTCCGTAGGCTTTCATGCCGTGTGGGTGTTCCTTGTTTCAGGTTCTTCCACACCTCAAGAGCGCATGCTCCCCCTTTTTTTTTTTTGTTTTTTTTTTTTTTTTGCAAGCTAGTCCAACAACTTAGCCCATTAGGCCTTCCCACTCATTCATAAGAGCATACAAGCATTATTTCCAATCACATGTTCACCTAGGACTCCTAGTCCTACACCCCTTGCCTTGGGGTAGGCCCGCGGCCTTTCTAGCATCCCCTATGGGATAGGCCAGCGGCCTTCGCACTCCCTAGTGCCATCACCCTCATTCAAGCCTCTCGGCACCGCCCCCTAGGGCGTTCACACCACCTGTGCCGGCCCTTGGGCTCCTCCCCCATTTTCTGGGCAAGCATTGGCCATGTGGCCCGGCTGCCCACAACGGAAGCATGAGCCACGAAAGCCCCTGCCATTGCCGTCAAGTGGGGGGCCGCGCTTGTTGCCAAATGCCATGGGCCCGCGCCCTCCGCCACGGGGGGTACGATTGAAATTGCCTTGGGCACGCTCCATGGCCGCCACGTCCGCGACGGCCTGCTTGAACAGGCGTGAGGTGAAGACACTCTTGTCTTCGTAGAGCTTGAAGCGATTT